ACAATTTAGGCATATTAATTATCAAATTCATGAAATTACATGATACAATCTTTGACGATAAACTATACTTTTCGGTCTTGAAATTGCATATAGAAGATGTATCTGTTGATCAGAAGTCATCAACTTTCCCAAATTTCTAGTCTACCCTTTCACTTAATATTATAAAAGAAATGGTAATTGCTAGGTCTGGAGGGCAAGCCGTTCGTATTCATGATGATAGGTCTGGAGGGCAAGCCGTTTGTATTCATGATGATAGGTCTAGAAGGAAAGTCGTTCGTATTCGTGATGATAGGTCAGGAGAGCATGTCCTTCGTATTCATGATAATAGTAAGTGTGGAATCACTTTTAATAATAAGTGATGTAATAAAGTATCATAGAAGGACAAAATAACATTTGTAATAAATATAACATTTTATTGAGAATTTTATTACTAATTTTGCGATGTAGTGTTCCGATTCAACAGTAATCGATGTCCCGATGCATTGGTTCTCATTATCTGATACTGTCATTCGTTTACCCTTATACTGACACGGCTATTCTTTTACGTTAATTTGCAGAGAAGCAACAAATACCAAATTGAAAGTCGGCAGAGGATCGAATCAACGACCTCCCGCACTCGAGGCAAGCACGCTACCACAATATCACCGACGCGGTTGATTAAAGGAAAATAGAAGGAAACCATGTTAGTTACATCTGCTAAATGAATGTTGTGAAAAGAGGTTTATCATTTTTTTCGAAAAAATATCATAAAGATTTTTTAAACAAATAAAATATTTAATTAACTGTATGATAAATGGAATTGTTTTCTCACTCTGGTCGGCTGTACTCGACGACAACATTTTGAATGCTCTGTCTATTATAATTGTTTTCAGAACATGATTCCTAAAACTATCATAAATTGAACGATAACCTCTGGTCTAAGAATGAGAATGACAGATATTCAGTTAAACCAAAACTGCTGTCCCAGGTTGGGGAGGGTTGGCACCTTTAAACAGGTGTATCACCGCCAATTTCTATATGTGTCTGTCCCAAGTGAGGAGCCTGTTGTTCAGTGGTTGTCGTTGGTTCAGGTCTGTCATATTTGTTTTTCGTACATTGTTTTGTTATGAATTAGGCCGTTAGTTTTCTCAGTTGAATTGATTCATATTTATCAGGTCTTGACCTTTTATAGCTGACTATACGGTATGGGTTTATCTCATTGTCGAAGGCTGTACTTTTTTCTATAATTGCATACATCTACTTGATTTCCACTTTGGTGGATAGTTGTCTCATTGGCAATCCTACCACATCTCCTTATTTTTATTTTGTAATACTTTGTCTATTTTGATTTATTTTTTTTATATTATGTTCGAAAATTATGACTAATTATTCTGCTCATTCTTGGCGCCGTGATATGCAAATAAAATTGTGTTTGTTCGTTTGTTTTTTTCATGATTTGTCTCAAATTCTTAGCTTTAACACACCACAACACTAGGCTAGCAATGTCATTGCGAAGATTTTGTTCACTGCAGATGCCTTTTAAATTGCCTCAAACGTTTATTATTCTTCACTTCTGTTTAAGCATTCGATCTTACGTAAACTACTTATATACAGTACCTTGTTTATGTACATTTTGTTCTTTGACTCCTACATTATATCCTGAATGAATAAAATATTAAACATCTTGAAGAAAGATATATTTCCACCTATTGTGAAGTGAACTTTGATAAAAATAAAATGTTCAAAAATTAGATCATATCAATATCGAGAGAGACAGCTATCCCACAATTTTGTTCTCATAAATCTTTTTAGCAGGTTAATTATATTAGGTCGTACGGAAACTGATTCTCACTTTCTAACAGGCGCTGTTCTTTTACGTAGAAATCATGTCAATTTTATCCAAATAAAAACTACATATACATTAGAGCTGATGTTATTTTATGTTAGGTATTGGTTTCATTTCTATTTGTTTTATTATTTGTAATAAAAAAGGTTTAATAATCAGGATGGAAAACTCTGGATTTTAATTGAGTTTGCATGATATGTTAAATTGTTTCACATATTCCTGGCAGGTATTTTTATTGCCGACTATACAGTATGCAGTATGGGTCATTCTCACAGTTGGAGGCAATAAATTCTCATTAGAGCTTATGTTACGTCCTTGTTTGTATACTATGCCGACTCTGAATAAAGCTTATTTGTTTATTATTTATTATAGGCCGTACGGAGGCCTATTCTGCTTACTACAACTTCATTTTAACTCTAGTGGATAGTTGTCTCATTGGAAACCATACAAAATCTCATACTTTTTATATGTAGTTTTGCATGTCAGTAACTGCTAGTAATCCTCCTTTGTTCATTTATGTATCATTGTCATTTTGCTTAGTTTCTTTTGTTACCTATTCTGACATCGGACTCGGACTTTTTTTGAACTGAGTTTTACTACATGCGTATTGCTATGTGTTTCTTTATTCTATGTTGGCTAGAGGTATAGGGGGGGGGGGGAGATCTCACAAAACATGTTTAACCCCGCCGCATTTTTGCGCCTGTCCCAAGTCAGGAGCCTCTGGCCTTTGTTAGTCTTGTATGTTTTTTAGTTTTAGTTCATTTATATGTTTTTTGCATGTCAGTAACTGCTAGTAATCCTTTGTTCATTTATGTATCATTGTCATTTTGCTTAGTTTCTTTTGTTACCTATTCTGACATCGGACTCGGACTTCTTTTGAACTGAGTTTTAATGTGCGTATTGCTATGTGTTTCTTTATTCTATATTGGCTAGAGGTATAGGGGGGGGGGGGGGGTTGAGATATCACAAAACATGTTAAACCCCGCCGCATTTTTGCGCCTGTCCCAAGTCAGGAGCCTCTGGCCTTTGTTAGTCTTGTATGTTTTTTAATTTTAGTTCATTTATATGTTTTTGAGTTTAGTTTGAAGTCCATTTTCACTGAACTAGTACACAATTTTATTTAGGGGCCAGCTGAGGACCACCTTCGGGTGCGGAATTTTCTCGCTGCGTTGAAGACCCATTGGTGGCCTTCGGCTGTTGTCTGCTCTTTGGTCGGGTTGTTGTCTCTTTGACAATTTTATTTATTGGGATATAGATGACTTTCATGGAGTTTTTATGCACCATAATCAGTTCGTGAAAGTACGTATGCATTTTGTAATTACCTACGTCATAAACAATGGACTTTCAACTTATAACGCACCGTTATTTTCCATTTAGTGTACCAACATTGAAATCACTCATTGTCCTGTAGATTCTGAATGTAAGGATTTGCCTTTGACACTATTAAATATCGTATACTAATGTACTAATGATTATAAATAGTGGGTGAATCTTTAGACACAATATTTTTTTTATTCTTTATGTATTGCAAATTTGCCACAATATTAGGTCGATTGTCATTAACGTAACAATTATGTAAAAACGTAACCTACCCCAATTTGGCCTCTTTTACCTCGTCGTCCATTACGTCCTAAAATATTAAAACTTATGATTACTAATGATAATTATATTTGGACATAGATGTAAAGAATTGCCACTAGTCTGAAGACTATTGATACACAATATGAATAGACATATGAACGACTCGGGTTAACTTCAATCCATTTGTGGTAGGGGTCAGACATACCGTACCCCATTTTTCATATATTTTGAATATTATAAAATGCCTACCCTTTCATATTTTTTGCAACCAATAGACATTATGCAATTACGCTATTTCATTGAGAGTAATCCTAGATATGATCAATATCTGATGCATTCACGATTGCGGCTTTAAACGCATCTTTGAACATATACTAACATCTCTATGTATAATCTACACATATGTGGCTATAGCGTTGACATATGTGGCAATAATGTTTGGCGTTGATTGCTACCACTTCGTTTATGTTAGTACTCTTATAAGGTATGGACCACCAGAAATTTCTTCTTTTTTCTTTACTTGGAATGATTTGTTTAGCGTTTTTCTTCATTTTGTTATGATAGTCTAGTTTTAATTTCAAGCATTTGATATCTATAGATTCTTGTTTACAAATACTAGGTATGGTATACATCTTCCGTTGCATTTTTGTTATTGTGCCAGAATATTTTCCAACATTTCTTTTAGTTATGATTTATTATGGGAACATCATTGCTTTATTCAAATACTCATACTATTGAAATTGACGATTAAGACGACCTTGTTAAGTTCGTTTGACGCTATCAATAGCTAAAAGGGGGCTGTAAAAGTTATAGATAAGGTCATTTATACCCGGAGTAACCAATTGAATACCTAACATATATTGTACGATAGCCGCCGGTCTATGTTTTTTATGATATGATGGAAAAAAAAACAATGATTCACAAGATATCTATGTCTTTAAGTAAATTAAAATTTAACCGACATAAAATGACATCAAGTAAACTAAAATGGACATTAATAAATGAAATCAAGTAAACTTAAATGGACATTAGAAAATGACATCTAGTAAATCAAATTGGACATTAGTAAATGACAAATTTGAGCTTAATGTTAAAAGAGTGATATCAATTCTGGGGTCGTAAATAGTTTTGTAAATGTACAGGAAGAAGTCTACTTTCTTGTGATATTATGATCTCACAGTTGCCAGTTGCACATAGGTTAGTGCGACTCGAAATGGGGGGGGGGGGGGGGGGGGGGTAATTGTAAATATATTACTTCCTCGTCGATAAGTATCTTGAATAAACTCTACCAATTCTCTTTGTAGAAAAGATACAAACTAAACACAAAATGAGGTAGCAAAACCTATTTAGGAAGTTCATATTTTCTTTATTTAATTGAACATAAATATAAAAAGCATACGTTAACTGATTGGCGTTTCATCCATTGTTAAAAGTATCGAAAGCTAGTAGTTAACACCAAGTAAAACTTTTAAAAGAATCATATTTGAATGATATTAAGGCTTTAATGATTAATACTAAGCATATATGAAGGAATTTACGGAATCAAAGTTTAACTGGCAGAAATGTACCAAGAAACCGTTAAAAATTGTGTTAATTAGACAATGACAGATATAAGTAAGGACGTACCCATTTGTCCCTTTTGTGTTCCTTTCTCGCCTTTCTCCCCTTTAAAGCCTTTCGGTCCCTTTTCTCCTCGTTGCCCTCTTTTTCCCTTATCGCCTTTCGTTCCTTTATAGCCTTTCTGTCCTTTATAACCTTTTTGTCCTTTGGTACCTTTGTATCCCTTTTGCCCTTTATATCCTTTCTGTCCCTTATAACCTTTGTATCCTTTCATTCCTTTAAATCCCTTGTTACCTTTTTGTCCTTTATATCCTTTGTTACCTTTCTGTCCTTTCATTCCTTTGTATCCTTTGTAACCTTTTTGACCTTTCTGTCCTTTATATCCTTTGTATCCTTTCTGTCCTTTCTGACCTTTATATCCTTTGTAGCCTTTGTCTCCTTTCAGTCCTTTGTCTCCTTTAATTCCCTTGATTCCTTTATACCCCTTCTGGCCCTTATTTCCTTTGTATCCCTTCATTCCCTTGTCACCTTTATATCCTTTTTGTCCTTTGTATCCTTTAATGCCTTTCTGCCCCTTACTCCCTTTATAACCCTTTTGACCTTTAAATCCTTTGTATCCTTTTCTTCCTTTTTGTCCCTTGAATCCTTTCATTCCCTTGCTTCCTTTATACCCTTTTTGTCCCTTGCTACTTTTGTATCCTTTTATTCCTTTGACTCCTTTATATCCTTTCTGACCTTTGTATCCTTTATATCCTTTCTGACCCTTTTGCCCTTTGATTCCCTTTTCACCTTTATATCCTTTTTCACCTTTCATACCCTTACTTCCTTTGTACCCCTTTTCTCCCTTTTGTCCTTTATAACCTTTCTGTCCTTTGAATCCTTTGTATCCTTTTAATCCTTTCATACCTTTATAACCTTTTTGTCCTTTAAAACCTTTTTGTCCCTTTTGACCCTTAAATCCTTTATAACCTTTCAGTCCTTTCTGTCCTTTATTTCCCTTGTATCCTTTCATTCCTTTAATACCTTTATATCCCTTTTGTCCTTTGGTACCTTTGTTTCCTTTTTGTCCTTTATATCCTTTGTATCCTTTCTGTCCTTTTTGTCCTTTGTATCCTTTCTGTCCTTTCGTTCCTTTATATCCTTTATATCCTTTCTGTCCTTTGTATCCTTTCATTCCTTTCTGGCCCTTATATCCTTTTTGGCCCTTGATACCTTTTATTCCTTTCTGTCCTTTATTACCTTTATATCCTTTCATTCCCTTTAATCCTTTATAACCTTTTTCACCTTTATACCCTTTATTTCCTTTCTGGCCTTTGTAACCTTTATATCCTTTCTGTCCTTTCTGTCCCTTTATGCCTTTTTGTCCTTTGGATCCTTTTAGTCCTTTCATACCTTTGTAACCTTTAAATCCTTTCTGTCCTTTCTGTCCACTTATACCTTTGAATCCTTTGTATCCCTTGTGTCCTTTATATCCTTTTTGTCCCTTGTAGCCTTTATTTCCCTTTTGACCTTTATAACCTTTATACCCTTTCGTACCCTTTCTACCTTTATACCCTTTATGACCTTTGTATCCTTTGATACCTTTATGTCCTTTATATCCTTTCGATCCTTTCGATCCTTTATAACCTTTAAACCCTTTCTGACCTTTTTCTCCTTTAAATCCTTTAATCCCTTTGTATCCCTTATTCCCTTTCATACCTTTAAATCCCTTGTTACCTTTTTGTCCTTTTTGTCCTTTATATCCCTTTAGTCCTTTGTATCCTTTATGTCCTTTCTGTCCTTTTCCCCCCTTAATTCCTTTCATACCTTTGTAACCTTTATATCCTTTCTGTCCCTTATATCCTTTTAATCCCTTCTGTCCTTTATATCCCTTAAGACCTTTTTGTCCTTTAAAGCCTTTATTTCCCTTCATTCCTTTGTGACCTTTGTGTCCTTTTTTACCTTTATATCCCTTTAATCCTTTTTGTCCTTTGGAGCCTTTTACGCCTTTCTGTCCTTTCTGTCCTTTTAATCCTTTATTTCCGTTTGATCCCTTATACCCTTTATATCCTTTCTGCCCTTTGTAACCTTTGCTTCCTTTCATTCCTTTGTATCCATTATTACCTTTCTGTCCTTCAATTCCTTTGTGTCCTTTTTGGCCTTTGTAGCCTTTAGAACCTTTTTGTCCTTTGTATCCTTTTGTACCTTTCTGTCCTTTATATCCCTTTGATCCCTTTATTCCCTTGGATCCTTTAAAACCTTTTTGACCATTTAAGCCTTTGTTACCTTTCACTCCTTTTTTTCCTTTATATCCCTTCTGTCCTTTATATCCTTTCATACCTTTATCACCCTTGTCTCCTTTATATCCTTTTTGTCCTTTGTACCCCTTATAACCTTTCGTGCCTTTTTTTCCTTTATATCCCTTTTGTCCTTTAAGTCCTTTATATCCTTTCTGTCCTTTATTCCCTTTATATCCCTTTTGTCCTTTTTGTCCTTTATATCCCTTCATTCCTTTATAGCCTTTATATCCTTTTTGTCCCTTTTCTCCTTTGTATCCCTTCATACCTTTATTTCCTTTGTTCCCCTTTATTCCTTTTATTCCTTTATATCCTTTTTGCCCTTTTTGTCCTTTTTTCCCTTTGTATCCTTTTTGTCCCTTAACTCCTTTTACGCCTTTCATTCCCTTATATCCTTTCTGTCCTTTCTGACCTTTGTATCCTTTATTTCCTTTAAGACCTTTATATCCTTTCGATCCTTCGTTTCCTTTAAGTCCTTTAGCTCCTTTGTTACCTTTCATACCGTTGTTGCCTTTGTAACCTTTCATTCCGCTCAGTCCTTTTCCTCCTTTCGCTCCGGCTGGTCCGGTATTTCCTCTCGGTCCTCTTTTTCCCCGCCTTCCATTCCTACCTGGTAGGCCTTTGGTACCGGTTGTACCCTTTGGACCAGTCATCCCTGCAAATATTAACATCCTTTTTCACATGCGTTTAATTTTAATGTTAAGATCTTTAGAATTATTTTAATTTTTTTTATCTTTTAACTGATTTAAAATTGATTTGGCTCATAAAATAGCTGATACTAGTAAAAATTCAAATGGTATCATCCTGCTGCTTTTAATGTTTTGATAAAGTGAAACTTTACTTTCTCTTAATGGATGTACTGATAGATCGTCTTTATAAAAATAAATTACCCTTCAGGGGAGAATACCAGTTGACTATATATAGTAATGGGGTATTATGGTTAAAGTTTGGTGTCGATAAAATTGCAACCAAGAAACAGGGTTCACCTAATCAAACCAAAAAAGATGCCTAACGTCTTGCTATTTGGAAATTCACCGTTGCAGAACACTATGAAGTATTGGTACTATTTTCAAAAGCATTCATCAAAACTTTGAAATTGGTAAATAACGAATTACACAACGGATATTTTAGTGCATGAACAATTTTTCTTCTACCTGTTCTCATTGGACGATTGAGCAGGTGACAATTCAACTCTTAATCGACTGGATGAGTTGAAAAACGTTCCGTAGTTACGCAATTTAGCATTGACATGTTACCACATGCTAAACTATTAACCTCTGAAACGTCATAAAGACTAGCCTGAAATGGAAAACTGGCGGACTGGTAAAAATAAGAGGCGGATGAAACAAAAGGGACAGTCAAACTCACAAGTCGAAAACGAACTGACAATACCATGGCAAAAAAAAAACCTAAAAACGACCGAAAGACAAATAACAGTCTACAAAACAAAACACAACAAGACTGGGCATATACAATCCCCACCAAAATTCATCATTAGCTATATAGGGTTTTGAAATGTTAATTTGAATATTCACTTCTGTAATTTATATCAACAGTTAATTTCAAGACACAGAACGAATAAGAACTTAAAAAAAACCCGATTGTTATCATATTAACTTTGAATGTAGATAAAATTAAGTTCAATTAACAACGCAAGAATAATGTTTTTTACAAGACAATATTAATAGCTAATGATTGGTGTAAAACCTACAATAATCCGGTTATTGACAGCTCTGACATCTTCTTTAATAAAAAAAAAATCATAATATTTTAAATTTTAAATATAGATATCTTTATAGTATTTCTGTACATAAGTTAAAACATGTTTTCTGCTCTTTGGTCGGCTTGTTGTCTCTTTGACACATTCCTCATTTCCATTCTCAATTTTATTTTTCAAAACTTTGACTTCATCAAAACTGAAAATGTTAAAAACCTGAGCTATCAAACTGCTGTTTACTATAAACTCTACTCGAAGAACTTTAACTACCTGTGATTATTGTAGCTATGTTACCATAGCTACTTACCTTTCAGTCCCGTCATTCCGTCTTCTCCTGTATTTCCCTTTTCTCCTATGACTGGCATACCCTTCATTCCTCTTGGGCCAGTAGGACCTGAAGGTCCAGGAGGTCCTGCAAAATACCAACATGTATGTACGCAAGGTTTTTCCATAGCATGGTCATTTCGCCAGACATATGTTAATTATGTATACAAAATACAGACAATATTCATATATCTTTTAAAATAAGCAAAAACTATCTGTAATTTTACCATTGCAAAAATAATCACATTCATAAGGAAAAATAATTTGACGTTTCTGACTTTCGTTGACAAGCACTAAAAGGACTAAATGATGAAAACCTTCAACGATTAATTTCTTTCGTTTATTATTTTTTTTTTTTACTTTGGAAGATTTTGTGTTCTTCATTACATAAAAATTGATGTCGCAACAATATAGTTGTTAAATATTTTCAATTATCAAATTAGTTCAAGACATAACTAAAATATGATATAAGTTTTAATTTTGTACATTTCAAATTAACAATTTCTGAAGATCATTATGGGTAATAAGGGTATTCTAATAAAGTTGAAGTTATGTAACGTGATTCAAAAGACAGACCCTTTGCTTTTGATTTTTGTGTTAATTTCAGCTTAATAAATAAACCTCCTGGTCTGTCGAGATATATCGTCCTCGTTGAAGTTTAAATTCTTTGTTGTTCATACCCATTTGAGTGTGCCTTCAATGTTTCCCTATCAACTGTATGTACTATTGCTGTCAAAATCTACTTTATTTTTTAAATTTGATTAAAGTTATTGTAATCCTATACGTGTTATGAATACATTACTGTATGGTTGATAATTCAAATGAACTTGATGAAGCCATGCATGGTAAATTGATAAGCCTCTTTGGCGAATTTGTATTGGACGACTATGCATAACAAAGTAACTTGAAAGGACGGAGTCATTAGTTTCTGTTCCCCTTATAATTTGACAACAGAGAAACATCGGAAACAAAAGGTAGAGTTACAATTTGGTTATTTGATATAATACTTACCTTAAACGTTGTTCTATTAACTAGGTACATTTTATTAAAGTTACAGTAAGGTTAATCATTGGATAACTTGCATAAGTTTTTGACTATATTCTACTCTCCAATTCAAGTGCTTATGAATATCTATGACTATGTTATAAACTTGCAATTGAGTGAACTTGTATGAAGAATGCTCGGCTTGTGGTGCGATTACAGTATAAGTGGTATCTTTATGGTCTTCGGCTACCATAATATTTTTCTTGAGATAATACATTATCGTTTAATTACTTACAGCAGATTCCATTGAGTGTGTAGCCAAAGGTAATATCATTGGTTAGCTTGCTTGTTAGCTGAACCGTGAAGTCATTGTTAGGTTAGGTAAACTACCCTACTTTAAGAATAGACTAGTCCGACAGTAAACCAATCGATCTGTCTGTTGGACTATGCTACTTTGAAAGGAGGGTAGCATACCTGACCCAATAATGACTTCACGGTTCAGCTAACAAGCAAGCTAACCAAAGATATTACCTTTCACTACACACTCAATGGAATCTGCTGTAACACTCCTTGTTACTATGATATGTTCTCTATGCCATAGTCAAATGAAGGTGTACTCATCCAGGGTTGAAACACCATTGTTACTAGGCATAGTGGTATATTTCAATCGTCCAGGGGTATAGAGGCAGCCGTCAGCAGTCAGTCAGGGGCGGTATTTCGATCAGATCAAGTATAAGTGATAAGATAAATACCTGCTTATTGTTCTAAACATTGAATTGACTGCTCAAGTCTTTTCAATAACTGAAACTTAGCAGAAGAATTATCTTGAAGTGTTAGTGAGCTGCATCGAGGAAACTGGAGAGCTATAGAGCTAAAAGACTTTATTTAAGATAAAGATATAACGGCAAGAACAACAATATTGCGAGTCTGTTTAGCTAACTATTTGAGTTAGAACTATTGTAAGCCAGTGGAGCTGCAGCGCTAGTGAGTCTGGTGAGGTAGGAGCTACAGAGCTAGTTTTCAAGTATAACTTGCTTTTTATTTGACCTATAGAGTCAGTTAGCCAGTTGGGCTGAACATTTATTTAATCTGGAGAGCATTGATGAGCCGAGAAAGCTGATAAAAGTATGTTTAACAAAAGTAACTATATATACAACTCTCAGATCTCGAGAATCAACTCGGGTACCCCCAACACATTACACCTCTGTGGTTTCTGAATCTGTCATAATTTTATCAATAATGTAAATTATCAAGGCTCTGTGTTGAGGACCATACTTAAACCTATAATTGTTTCACATTATGACTTAGGAGTGTTGTCTCATTGGCACTCATACCATATCTTCTTATTTCTATTGAAAATGATATCATCACACAAAATTATCGAACCAACATGATATATACAATTGAAACAAATTTTAAATGGACAATATGAAAATAAAAAGATATGGTACGATTACCAATGAGATAACTCTCCACCAAAGACCAAATGACGTAGAAGGTTAGCAGCTATAGGTCACCGTACAGCCTCAAACAATAAACAAAACTCATACCGCATAGCAAGCTATAAAAGGTTCCAAAATGACAAATGTAAAACCATCAAACGAGAAAAATAACGGCCTGATTTAGATACAAAACAATAAACCAAAAACAAATATGATATATAGCAACAAATGATAATCACTGAATTAGTTGCTCCTGACTTTGGACAAGCACTGCAGGTTTCAATAAAAAATGTTCAACTCATATAAATAGCTGTCGTGAATAAGGTTATCCTAGTAGCCAAGCATTTGAGAAACAGAGATAAACGTGTCACACGTACACTTTAAAATTAGAGATTAATGTACCACGCGTACACTGTAAAAACAGAGATAAACGCACCAGGCGTACACTGTGAAAACAGAGATAAATGTACAACACGTACACTGTAAAAACAGAGATAATTGAACCAAGCGAAAACTGTAACAACTGAGATAAATGTATCACAGGTACACTATAAAAACAGACTCTGAGATAAATGTACCTGATGTACACAATAAAAACAGAGATAAATGTATCAGACATACACTCTAAAAACAGAGATAAACGTTTCACACGTACACTATAAAAACAGAGATAAATGTTCTACACGCACACTGCAAAATTAGAGACTAATGTACCACGCGTACACTGTATAAACAAAGATAAACGCACCACGCGTACACTGTGAAAACAGAGATAAATGTACAACACGTACACTGTAAAAACAGAGATAATTGAACCATGCGAACATTGTAACAACTGATATAAATGTATCATAGGTACACTATAAAAACAGACTCTGAGATAAATGTACCAAATGTACACAATAAAACAGGTTTAGAAATTGTAACGTTAGACGTGTGTTTCGTTTATTTAAGACTTATTAGTTTCAAACGAATCAAAACAGTTGGCGGACCAAATCAAATACGAAGTTTAGGAGCATTTAAAACAGAAAAATTCCGAAAATGTGTGCCAAACACAGCTAAGGAAATATATGCATAAGGGTAGATAAACCTAATTATTTCGAATAATTCAATATTTTATTAACAGTAAATTTACAGAAATAGAATTGGGAATAGAAATATTGTCACTACAGGTCTTCTTCCGACC